GAAGGCAAACAAACCTGTGTTTAACAATAAGGTCAGCGTGACACAAGGCAACCAGAGCCAGTAAATCGAAAATGAGGTTGACATTCTGGGACTCATCCAGAAATCCTGCAAAGGTTTTCCAGACTCCCCAGCTGCGAGAGCTTGGATGAGCCTGGGTGCAGCCTCCAGCCATGGCCAGAGCTTGGCTTTGGAATGCTGTCAACACTAAGGGGGAGCAGGGAGCTGTCCTGTTTTCCTCCCTTTGCTGTTACTGCTATTGAACTCATCACCGATGCCCCATAAATGCTTAGACTCTTCCAGGGAAGAGAAGGATAAGTAATGAAAGGAAACTGCTCTTTGCTTTTCATTTTAAAAATCGAGACAAAGTCTGTGTGGTCAGGCTGGTGTAGATTGTGCAATCCTGCCTCAGCCTACAAAGTCCTGGGGTTCCAGGAAGCATCAACACACACAGCATTCATTTAACATCAGCTTTGAAGACTTAACTGGAGATGGGTTATCCAGGAACATGGTGGTCTGCAGAGTCCTGCCCCCCCCATTCCCCCAGAGTCCTGCCTGAATCTGATTATTTAGGTCTTGCCCATCTTGGATTCACATCGTGATGCGGTGTGTAATCCACACCGAACTGCATTTTTCCTTCTGTGGATGGACAGCTAGCTGCCCATGGCTTTTTTACCTATTTTTCCTTTAAAGGCCGGGGTGTGAAGCAATGTTTACTAAAGAGGTGGCAGGTTAAAGGTAGAGCAGACATTGTACTTGGTGCCCTACCTCAAATAAAGACAACAGCAATGCCAGGGAGCCCTGGCAATCCTCTGCTAATGAAACTTATGCCATGATCTAGTTTAGTGCATGGGAGTAACTTGGGAGTTACTTTTGGAATTTAAAAGGTGAAGATGGTTCCTACATTTGAGAGGCAGATCATAGGAAAGAGAAAGCTACCCCTTCCTTAGAGTCTTCCTCTTGTCCTACTCACTCTGTCTTCATGGGAGTGGTTGCTGAATTATGCTTTAAAAAGAAAACAAGGTATCTTTAATTGTAAAAGCACATTTTCAAGTCTTGAGGGCTTCTTATGTATGAGGCTATGGGGTTTTAAAAATACTTAAAGGATTTATATTTCAGCCTGAAATCTGGTTGGTAAGGGCAAACAGAAATCATGCAAATTGCCTGGGTGTTTGTAGCAAAAACTGAAGGTGTAGTAGTTATCAAAGGAATCAAGCAGGCAGGGAGATGTCTTACCGCTATCAAATAGCAATGCTGTCTGCGGAGTTGATTCCATCGTGTGTCTTAGATAACATTGTCAGATGTTACAGGTGGGATTAGGACCACGACAAGAATAATGTTTAGTATGGAGTGTAAGTTTGTGGAAGAGCTGTATTACACTTAAGCTTTTTGGATTTTAAAGAGCTATTGGGAAATGTAAAAAAATTAATATTATTATTACTAGATACTACAAGCAAAGGGTGATATGCTCTTCAGATTTCTTATGAAGCAGGTCCTAAACTAAAAGGCTACAATTTTTCAGGAAAATAAATAAAATATATTTCAATTTTCAAACTACGTCAATTATTTCATATTAAACAGCAGGAGAAGGAAAACAACTAGGTTTTCTACATCCCTGAATTTACTAGCTCATAGAAATGACATTTCTGAACACCTGTACATATGTATACGGATATATATCTTGTGCTTATTAATTGCAAAGGAGTTGGGTAAGGCTTAATGATGTAGCTCTAGCTTACACTCATATGGCCAGCAAATAACCCTGAAGTGGGCACAGTCGTAGGTTAGCCCACTATGCACATCATTAGGTCCATCAGTATAGTTGAGAATAAGCTAGAAGTCACAAGTTAATGCTCCATGGCTGCTTAAAAAATATTTTATTTCACACCTGTTTAAGGGTAAAACTTAAAGCTAAGTGTGAAAAAATGCAATGGAAAAGCATCATGTAACTAACGGTGCCATGTTTTCAAACAATGGACATATAATAGTTCCCCAAAATAATTGATGCCAGCCATCATCCTCTCTTGAGACACAAATGCTTTTTCTGGTTTTTGTGGAGGGAATCTATCATTAAGTAGAAAAAAATCTGCTTCAGCAACATTCAAGTATTTCATGATATAGAGTCTGTATCCTTATGCTTTAATTTTACTCTGGAGCAACCCCGAGAACATGACCTGCCGAATGGAGATAAAGGTTATGATGACAAGATAGGAATGGAGTCATTGTAGCTGGAAATCTTAGAGTAAAAGATTCAGAGATGAGGTCACTTCCATTTGGTCATGTCATGATTTTCTGGGAATGTTTTTCTTTCTAAGCTTAGCCTTAAATAGTAAATCCTGGTGTTTAGACATCTAAACTATGGATGGAGATTGAGATCAAGAATATCAAATGTTTTTAGGAAGTTGCAAAACAAGGGTCATAATAAAACTCAGCCCTGAAGATGACACACTTTATTTACTCTTAGTTGAAATAGACTTAGAAAAATTTCATTGCCTTTATCATTAGACTGTACTGGTAGACAACTGTAACTACTATCAAATTAGTCCTTTAATTAAAAAAAAAGGATTTGATAACGATTGTATCCAGTGTTCCAGAGGCCATTACACGAATAAAAGAAATTATGACATTGTTCTTGGCTACATTCATTCATCAGTCTCTCACAGTTCATACAACTGTCACAGAATATAATTTTCCCTAAGTATTCTATACGGGAGATCTTTTTCAATAAACAAGTGTACATATCAATTTAAAGCAAATGAACTGCTAAAAAGTTGGCCTAGGTTATATAATTATTAATTTTAAAACAATATCATTTTCTAGAACTTATCTCATTAAAATTGTGCATAAATAATGCCTTGCATAGATCAAACCTCAAGAATGAAGTTTATACATCCCACAGGTATCTGATGAGCCTCCTTTTAGCAGATACTAGATTCACACTACACCTGGGTTATACCTACTTGAATTATATATACTTTTTCTTTACCCCCAGGTACTATTAAATCCTGTTAACATGTTTTCTTATGCTGCTATTAGGTACTCAAAAATACTTGTTGAATAAAATCAGAAATATTGGGATAATTTTACATCGAAGTTTGCAATATAAAACAATGAAAGAGTACTTAATTGTTTGTAGACTCTTACAGGGAAGGAAATAATATTGCATTCATTGTGTTGTAAAGTTCAGAACAAGAAACAGACCATTGTAATGGATTCATATAAAATCTGCTTCTATGCCATATTTAATAAAGGGCAAGATGTCATAGGATAGGGAAAGTCAGCTTGGAAATTAAAGTGTGTGATAAAGCCATGAGAAGTTTCTCAATATCACCCAGGAGACCTACGGCAAGAGGACAAATGTGACAGTCAACTCTCTGTCAAGAGACACTGTGGGCTTTCCTTAGTACAACCCACAGACCTGTGGACCATCAGCATGGTACAGACGCATAGTATTGCAAATTAGACAGCCACAGAGAAACATAGGAGCCATCAAATCCCTGTATGGCAGACTGAGGCAGACTTTACAGAAACAATACAAATCTTGAAGGTTGTCACATGTCTGGGTCTAGAGTCAGAGTGGAGAAATTCTGGCCGAAAGGTGATGCTTTGCAAAGACTGGCATCGCAGGAACCTAACAGCAGCACAGCAAATTGACAGATTAAAGGATAGTTGTGAAGGATGTCACCCAAGACTTTTTTCTTAATAAAAGTGTGTTCTTTTTTAAAGCCCATTTGGCGACTCTGATGTGTAGATTAGTGACAGCTGACTGGAAGTTCCTGAATAGGCTTCGGTGAGGAAATAGCAGAAGCAGATCCTTTGTCTGAAAAGTGAAACAAGAATGTGCATGCTTGTGCACTGTGTGTGTATGTGTGAGTGTGTGGGTAAGAGAGAAAATGTGTGTGTGAGTGTGTGTGTGAGAGAGAGAGAATATGTGTGTGAGTGTGTGTGTGAGAGAGAGAGAGAATGTGTGTGTGAGTATGTGTGTGTGACAGAGAGAATGTATGTGTGTGAGAGAATGTGTGTGTGAGTGTGTGTGAGAGAGAGAATATGTGTGTGAGTGTGTGTGTGTGAGAGAGAGAATGTGTGTGTGAGTGTGTGTGTGACAGAGAGAATGTGGGTGTGTGAGAGAATGTGTGTGTGAGTGTGTGTGTGACAGAGAGAATGTGTGTGTGAGAGAGAGAATGTGTGTGTGAGTGTGTGTGTGAGAGAGAATGTGTGTGTGAGAGAGAATGTGTATGAGTGTGTGTGTAAGAGAGAGAATGTGTGTGTGAGTGTGTGTGTAAGAGAGAGAATGTGTGTGAGTGTGTGTGTGTGAGAGAGAATGTGTGTGAGTGTGTGTGTGTGAGAGAGAATGTGTGTGTGAGAGAGAGAGAATGTGTGTGTGAGTGTGTGTGTAAGAGAATGTGTGTGTGAGTGTGTGTGTGAGAGAATGTGTGTGTGAGTGTGTGTGTGAGAGAATGTGTGGTGAGTGTGTGTGAGAGAATGTGTGTGAGTGTGTGTGTGTGAGAGAATGTGTGTGAGTGTGTGTGTGTGAGAGAGAATGTGTGTGTGAGTGTGTGTGAGAGAATGTGTGTGTGAGTGTGTGTATGAGAGAGAATGTGTGTGTGAGTGTGTGTGAGAGAATGTGTGTGTGAGTGTGTGTGTGTGAGAGAGAATGTGTGTGTGAGTGTGTGTGTATGAGAGAGAATGTGTGTGTGAGTGTGTGTGTGTGAGAGAGAATGTGTGTGTGTGAGTGTGTGTGAGAGAGAGAATGTGTGTGTGAGTGTGTGTGTGTGAGAGAGAGAGAATGTGTGTATAGAGAATATGAAGACCCAGTCAAGAGTGTAGTGTATTTCAGACACGCGGCAGGAGAAGGCACCCAGGCACTGAGGAAGAGCTTCTCTGTTCTAATGCTGACGGCTGCAGTACCTGGGTAAAACTTTGATTGGCTGCTGGAACCAAGGAACTGTGCAGCAGGTAAACCAGTATGATTTCCTCATGCATAAAACGAGAGAAGCCGAAAGTCCTGATTAGTCTTTATTTCAATACCTATTTTAAATGTGCTAGAGAACTTATTGTTCTTTACGCCATAGTCAGACACAACGTAGTCAGTTCTCTTTTTAATTTAGAGAATTTATTGTTAATTTAGAGAAATTATTGTATAATATACATATGTGTATATAGTATATATATATATAATATGACTGGAACTTATACCAATGATTTAATGAAAACAAACAGTAACTGGCTTTTATTGCATTTACCAGTGGTGTGAACTTGGTATGCATACATGTATGAGCTTTTCTTTAAAAAAAAAAACTAACTGATGTCCAGTAACTGATTTCTGTAAAGAACTAGAATCTGTCTTTCAAATGAATATTTTAAGTAGAAATGACAAAGTGAATTATGTGTCTTATCGTCACTGTACCTGGTTGTATTATTTGAAGCAAGTGTCTAGGATTTCCTGAAGCCACTCATTTAGAATTGGGTCGTAGGCACTCAAAACTCTTTCCATCTGAGACTTGTCTCTTTCTAAAGCATCTCTTTCAGATTCAGAGGCACTAAAAACATTTTCCACCTGAGATTCACTACCTGCATTTCCCAAAACAAAACAAAAACAAACAAAAAACCCTCTATCCCCAAGAAGGGAAAGGTATTTACCTCTTCCCTCCCCCCTTTCTCACTTTTCCTGTCTTTCCCTTGCAGCCTTCTTTGATACAACGGTAAGAAGAGGGAAGCCTTTGCCACAAATGCTGTCATACTGGCCAGGACACAGAACTAGCAAGGGCGACTGGTTTGCAAGGTCAGTCATCAACAGGGATTCCAATGGGAGAACAGACCTGATTTCTGACATTCACAGGACCTGATCTGGAGGCATCTTCACCATCAAACCCACCATCGGTAGTCACTGCAACTGTATGGCTGCTTGTTCACCCCATCGTAGATCTGCTCCAACCACAGCACGCCTAGTTTCAAAAACCTCAACCTATGTCAGCTCCCTTTCCGTTACTCTGTTCTGTTTTGTCGGTTCTTTTCTTTTCTTTCTTTTTTGCATTAAAAACTCTTTGAAAATCTGTTTCAGGCTATGAATCTTCTCACAAAATGATTACATTCTTGGCTGCCATTTTAAAGGTCCACTTTTGGAGATCAAAACAACTACCTAGAAGTAACATGTATGCTTTGCTAAAGGTAGGGTGTCTCACCCCTATAAAGGAGATTTGTTAGATGTTAGATGCAAAAGTTAAAAATTCTCACCTGGATAGTATGAAATAATATAATGAGATATAGTTTACTCATACAATCAATTTTAGTCCTTTTAAACTGTTTAAACTCTCAAAGAAAACGTGGGTACATAAAACACTTGAAAACCTATACTTAGGCATTACAAAGGAAAATCAACATCTCCCAAGTTTTCCCATAAGTTCATACAGTGTGTATGTATACCTGTAATAACTTCATACAGTGTGGTACATGTACATGTAAGGCTTTCAAAAGAACATTATAAAGACACACGACCTGACTTTCCTAACCAAGACAATAAAAGACACAGTACAACATTCAATTTTTGCAAAGAAAACACAGCAAAGACATCACTTTTTATGAAAGAGAAGAGGCTTCACCATGCCCGCCAAGATCTTGGGCAACTGTGCAGCAATAACTTCAGACATCATTTCTGGAAATTCCACAGCCAGTGTCCGAGACTGGATGAATGTATTCAGGCAGTATAGATGGAGTTGTTTCACAAGCTGTTGGTTTAACAAGTGGGTAGATGACGTGAGACAGTAAGCCCACACACTGTGCAAAAGGGATACATTATCTTATTAACCCTGGGAAACCCTGCCCGGCTGTTTGTTCTCACCAGCATGCAAGCAACTCTCCACCCTCTAGGATAACGGGAAAAATGTTCCGTACTGATGATGGAGCACGCTGATAATATGGCGCTTCAGAGATTTGTTTGCTTTTATTTATTTTTTAATTTTTATTTTTACATTTAAATTAGAAACAAGGTTGCTTCACATGTCAATTCCAGGTCCCTCTCCATTTCCCTTCCCTCCTCATGTGCCCTCCCACAAACCCCTCCAATATCCCCTCATTTCCCCAGGGAGGGTGAGGCCCTCCATGGGGGTGTCCATAGTCTGTCATTTCATCCAGGGCAGGGCCTAGACTCTCCCCTGGGAGTCCAGGGTGAGAGTGCATCTCACATTGTTGGATGGGATCCCAAAGTCCATTTGTATACTTGGGATGAATATTGATCTACTACCCAAGGCCCAATAGATTACCTAGGCCTCCTCACAAAAAGAGAAACATGGCATGTACTCTCTCATATATGGATTTTAGACATAGATCTGGGGAGTGACCTTTATTCAGAGGCTGATGGAAGAAGAGGCAGACTCCCATGGCTAAGCACTGAGTTGAACTCAAGAAATCCAGTGACAGAGAGGGAGGACTGATGAGCAAAGGGGTTAGGACTGGGCCGGTTTAACCCCCAGAAACAGCTGACCTGACAAGGGTTAGCTCTTGAATCCCAGACTGATGCCTGGGAATCCAGCATGGGACTGATCAAGACCCCCTGAACGTGGGTGTCAGTGAGGAGGCCTCTCTTCTCTGACAGGATTGTGAAAACCACATCAACTTAATTGCGCATATTAGCAACCCCCTAGCCCCATTTTCACCCTGGAGCTGGTGTAGTAGAGTCCAGTGCTGTCTTACTGGTACAGCAAGACAGATAAATAAGCAGGGGCTTCCTCTTATTGTTATGGGGAGACATCACCATGCTTCCCTCCTGGCTTGAATCTTCTTTGCCTACAGCTTGTTGTTCAACAGGAACACACTCTGGGACAGCTATATCTGAGATGTCCTCTGCAGGACTTTGATGGTGGCCTTGCAGCTGTTGGCTATCTGGTGGTTTTCCTTTCATCAGGGTTCTGAAGACACCACTCAGGCATTGTCACAGAGCCAGTGTCGTTCAGAATTCTGGCAGTTGGCATATGAGTTGTTTCTTTTTCATAGGTTTGCTTAGGGTATTCTTCTCACTCTTGGTATGATGAGCTATGATAGTGTACCTTGGATGAATTGTGCAGTGCCTGTACGCTAGTCCCTTACATTTAGAAAACTCACACCTTCAGCAAAGAGAAGTGGCATGAGGCCGGAAGACTGCTATCATTGACGCTCAGTGTGGGCTACACAGCAAAGCCACGTCTTAAAGCTCAGAAGGAAAAAGAGAACTCATGCCCTTCTATTGTGTAGCTTTCCCAGTAATCCCCCTGCCTTTGTTTTCCTAAATCCTTTCTTCTCTGAATTCCTATGAATGTGAATTTTGAGGATGAAATCTGATTTATCGTGTCTTAGGTTTTAAATTATTTTCTACTGAAATGTCCTTTGTATTTCATGACTTTTGTTGAATTGTAATGTCTTTGATTTTGTGCTTAATTGTCTCAAAGTTTTATTTATTTATTGCTAAATGTTCCTTCTTGAAGGCTGTCATTTCTTTGACACAGTACCATTGTGTTTCTTTGAGGCTCTGTGGATTTCTCTTCTGTCTCTGAACTGGTGCTTTATCCTTCAGCTTTCTTTTTTTAAAAGCTTATTTTATTCTCTGCTTTTTATTATAAATGTTTAATTCAGGTAGCTCATCATTTCCACAAAGTGTTCATAATTCAGACTCACAAGCTGCCATGGTTAAGTAGGTAGCTTTTTTATGGCTTTGACTCTCACTTTTATATAGTTTCTTATACAACAGCAATAAAAGCTGGTCTCTAATAAGTCTCTCTCTCTCTCTCTCTCTCTCTCTCACTCACACACACACATGTTAAGTTTCATTAATATAGCTGTGGTGTTGGACTTTTATGGGCTGTTTATCACAGAAGAGTATAAAAAATAACCCAGATTAATTTATGATTTCTTTATGGCTTTGAATGGAATCCTGGCTATCATGGAGCTCTTAACAATTGCCATAAGCAAGAGTATTTACAAATACACACCAAATGGCATAGTTGTATTATTTTTCTATATTAATATTTTGAAGCAAAAAGTATTTTGGAACATATTCTGAAATATATATGATAATTTATCTTGGCCATTAAACTATTCTCAAGTGTTATACATACTAGTAAAAAGATATTTGAGAGGCCAACATTGAACACAATGGCATGATATAGTCTTTTTAAACCCAACCAGAAACAAGTATTTGGGGAAACCACACTGTATGAGGTAAACGTGATAACCAGTACACTATGGAAACCAGCTGGGGAAACCACACTGTGATGGCTAATCTTTGTCATCAACTTGCCAAGATCTAGAATGATCCAGAAGACAAGCTTTTGGGCACAGCTAAGAGTTCTAGGCATGCTGTCAGAGATTAGATTAATAGCACAATATCCCAGGAATGGATCGTGGACTATCTAAAACAGAAAAATGCTAACTGAGCCCCAGAGTCTACCACTTAATTATTTGAGAAATTAACAGAATACTGGAAAACAAAATACTTACATCATGCAAGCTGTCGAGAAACTTTGTAAGTTGATAGAAGCGCTGAGAACTGGGAACCACTCCTTTCTGCCTTAGGCCAATTGCCTTGATCAATTCCCGGATATAGCTTGACCTCATCTCTTCAAACTGGCTTTGGCTCCTCAGTCCTTCCAAAGGAACTGTACAAAACAAAATAACAAGAACCGGCAGTTATGTTAAAAGTGGACACTAGCAAACCAGGTAGTGGCAAGACATGCCTTTAATCCCAGCAGAGACACACCGATCTGCAAGCTCAAGACCCAGCCTCATCTATAGAGCAAGTTCCAGGACAGCCAGGACTATACAGGAAAACCCTGTCTCAAACAAAACAAAAAACAGAAAGATACTAACAAGGTATGAATTTTTGAGCTAGCTAACTATCTTTCATATATTCGCATACACATAAGTTTGTGTGTGTGTGTGTGTGTGTGTGTGTGTGTGACTTTAAATGGAAACAATTTAAATGGGAAAATAATAGTGCAGTTAGTAAGATCAGGACACAGAAATCTTTTAACCATAAAGTATATATGAACAACTTATGTTTCAGACTTGTATCTATGAACTCTGCATTCAATGTAGCATTTGCTCAGAAGAGCCCCTGACATTATGTCATAGCCTCGCTTCAGATAGCTGGTTTTAATTGATGGTTCCATCCTGGGCCTTCTTTCACTTTTTCCTCCATGGATCTTACATGTGATGGCTAGTTCCCCATCCTCACGCTCCACCCTCTATCCTTTCTGCTTCCAGAGCTCATCGTTCACTTCTCCTTGCTTTGCACTCCTACATGTGAAGCTGCAGCCTCAGGAGGACTCTTTCTGGAGCCATGCATGGATTGCCAAGAGGAAAATGCAAAACCTCCTCAATCTACAGCACTACACATTCGGGATCTCTGCTCTGCGCTATTCCTGTGAAGAAGTACATTCAGATTAAAGAGGACTGCGTGCACCTAAGGAAGCTTTTTAAAAGCACTCCCGCTCATCAGTACTGGCTGCTGTCTGCTCCTCGTGGAAAAGGACACAAGCCAAAGACAGAACAAAGCAATAACTCTTTGGTTTTCAGCTTTCAGCTGTCAGATCCTGAATGTACGGGGGTTTCTCAGGAGTCAATTTCGCAATACTCATTGAACATTTAATTCTTGTCTGTACATCTGTGCAGATGTGTGGCATGTGTGTCTGTAGTCCCTATAATCTCTTCCCTTCAGTTACTCCAGAATATAGCTATTTCAAAACCATGCCCTTTCTCTTAAAGCTTCCAAACCAATCTCCATAGCGAGCTCACCCTGACATGTGAATATATATTATTTTTCTTGAGTGAAGGTATATGCACATGTGTGTCTGAAGGCATATACACCACTATGTGTGAGTGTGAGCCTAAACCAGAAGTGAGTGCCGGATTCCCTGTGCCTGGAGATACAGTGGCTGTGAGTCACCCTGCAGGGATGCTGGAATCAAACTATAGTCCTCGGCAAGAGTACAAGCACACCAAACTGCCAAACCACATCTCTAGACCCATAGTATTTGCTTTGCAAAGGTATTTCCTATTTGCTATTTGAAAAGTTTATATTTCTTCATTTGTTTTTAGATAATTTCAATGTTTACATTTAACTGAATTATCTGGATATACAAAGATCCCATCTGAACTGAATAAACTGACTTTTTGTAAATATGAAAACATTTCTCTTAACACTATTTTTTTACTCATTGACGAGTGATGTGTTCACTGTAGCATTTAAATGTCTGTTTGACACTTGAATGTCATCATCAGTCTTCCAGACGGTAAGAAGCACATGACATTCTAATTCTCGTATCTTTGTAATGCTTGGTTTATTATTCCTTTAGATTTAAAGGTGCTTTTACAAACACTTTGTACAGTTCTCCCCACTGGCCAAGGCGTTGTTCATTAAGACACGTTAACCACACTCACATGGATTCCACGGAAGTACCTTACACTCTCTGAGACTGCCTCTTCTCCCCATCCTGACAACCCTTCCCCAGCCATGTGAGATTTGTGCCACTAGCAGAAGTCCCTGAAAAGAGATGATGCTGAGAAAGGTACTCAGGTCAGCTCATCCTAAGGCCTTAATTCCCTGTAACTCTCTAGCAAGCCAAAGCATCGGTCATCAAGCTGCAGGCTAAGCCTGCTCTGAGGCAAAGGCACAGAAAGGGTTAGGGATGCATGTGCCGTTAGACTTTGTTCCCTTCTCCTATGGCTGTCCCCCACATTTCAAGCCTCACACCCAAACTCCCGCGTACTGCTTATGTGCAACAGAGGACTCCAGGCCACATGATGGCCATTATGTGGGAGGGACCTGAGTCTTTCTTGTTCACCTCCCCCCCCCCCCCCCGGGACTGTCTGAGTAACACGCACACTGCCCCTGCACCAAGTCAGTGATCCTTGTGGCCATTTGCTGTGAGTACAACTGTGCCCACACCCTGAGAATAGCTCCAAACAAGTGTGTGTGTGTGTGTGTGTGTGTTGTACAGTGAATACTTCTGTGTATGTGTGATAGGTTTAATAATGGGAAGCATAATTTGTTCTCATCTCATTATTTAGCTTGTAAAACTGAATCCAGTAAATAAGCTTGTAATCTTATTTCAAGTAAAACAAAGAAATTGGCTAGGCTATTTTAATCTTGTGTGTCAGAAAAATATTTTTAAAAAATGCCAAATTGTCAATGACAATATATTGGAGATTACTCCTTCACAGTTGCAATCCAAGTTTTATATATGGTGTATATGATCATATTTTTGACACTTAACCTGTGAGCTCAAAGTAAGGTACTAAGTGTCTTCACACTTGTGTACTCACTTGTATTAAGAAGTAGCAAGACTTTCATACATAGGAACTCCTCGTGGGTCACTTGGAGCTTGACGAACTCCTGTGGGATTTGCCACATGGTAAGGCACAATGAGTAGAATGATAACTCTTTCACCCTCTGCCTACACATGGCACAGAAAAGAAAACCAACACAGAATTAAAAAAACACAACATAGACTATCAGCCAGTCAGTAGTATAATTTGTCAGTGAACAAGATTTCAGCAATTGTCTTTCCTATTGTTGAATTTACTGATACTTTAAATAAGAAACCTTAATATTTAGTATTTTAGATAACTTTAAACTTTTTCATAGGCTGGCACTAAATTTTTAAGGCAAAAAAATTTAGACATAAAAATGACTTTAAATGTACATTGATCAAAGTTAAAATTGTTTCTTGCTTTTGTTACCACACTTAAATACCTAAATTAAGTAAGAGCAGTGTTGTAGGGATTGAGCATTTGGAGCCAAGAAATGATTTATTTACTGAAAATATGTGTATTTGTCTGCATAAATAAAAAATTGTTCAAAAGTTGATGAGTTGCTTCAGTTCATGAAAACTTACAACACTGTGACTTTTCCTAAGGGATGTGTGCAGTGAAACATAAAAACAAATGCAAGAATGGTGTCAAACATTAAATAACTGAAAAGGTCAACACAGTTCTGAAGACGGAGGCCCCTTATCTGAGCGATTCTCCTAGCCATGCGCTTTTTGGTGATGCTAGCGCTGGTCAGTGCAGCTAAAGGAAGAGTGGGCTGAAGGTAAGACACCCACACTGATGATAACGGGTAATCCCGGCCCCTCAGGTCTGCGCCAGCTTTTCCTGTCCTCCCGAGCCCCGGTTTCTTTTACTGCTAAGAAGGGTCCTGAGTCCTTGCCTATGTCAAGGGACTAGGAGTTAAAGAGGAACAGACGGAGCATGGAGATTGTTAACAGTGAAGACATTAGGCAGTATCAGGTATTAACTTAGATCCTTACAACTTGGCATTCCCTATTAGAACAGTGCAGACAATACCATGGATGAATTCTCTCCATCTGAAAACTACATGCAGAAAACTATTTGAATATACCAAATCAAATTTTAGATATTTATAGAAGATTTTATGCTTAATTTTTAAAAGACAATCAATAGTGTCTCCACAAGCACAGAAGTTAGAAAATGTAATTTGATATGGTAAACATTTAAATTTACATTGAAATTTACAACTTAGTAAGTTTTTGAAAAAATTAAAAACATTAGTTTGAGATAAAAATGCATTTAGGGACAGGAGGAAAGGGCTCCAAATATCAAACTAGTGATAGAAAGAATTTAATTAAAAATTTCAAACAAATAAACACAGATTAAAACTTTTTGGAAAAGGACTCCAAATTCTCAGGAAATAATACCAACTATTTGCAAATTGGATTGCATGAAATTAAGTTGATTCTATACAGCAAGGGAAAAGTTGAATAAAGAAAAAGTCAAAGTATAGAAGAAAATATTTGCAAACTACACATTTGACATAGGATTGATATAAAATATGCAAAATCACAAACTAAAAATCAAGAAATCAAATAACCCAATCAATAAATGAGCTAATGAAATGAACAGACAGTTCCCAAAAGATGAAGTACAAGTGGCCAATATACATATTACAAATGATCAGCCTTATGAATCATCTAGGAAAAGTTAATTAAAACTGTATTGAGATTCCATCTTACCACAGTCAGAATGGCAGTTAGAAAAACAACCCATGCTGATGAGGATGTGGGCGGAAGGGGGCCCTTATACACTGCTGCTGGGAATACGAACCGGTCCAGCAGCTGTGGAAATCAGTATAAAGGTGCCTTAAAAATGAAAAGTAGATCTACCTATGACCCAACTAGAACACTCTTTAATTCACCCAAAGTCTTTCAAGTCTACGCATTGTAGAGAACCTTTCATCAAAGGTTATTAATACAAGATTCACAATAGCTAGGCTATAGATGGATAAAGAAACTGTGTGTGTGTGTGTGTGTGTGTGTGTGTATGGTGTGTGGTGTGCCTGTGTGTGTCTCATATATACTTCATATCTATAATGGAATTTTATTTAACTATGAAAGAAAAAACTATGTTATTTTAGATAAATGGATACAACTAAACATCATATTAAGCCAATAAGTTAGACTTGGTAAAACAAATACTTTTTCTCTTATTTGTGGATTCTAGATTGCACACATACATTGTGTCATGTACGTATGTATGACACAATGACACAAAAGTAGAAGAAAACTGCCCAGAGACATGAGGAGAACTAGCATGGACAGGTGGGATGGAGGACAGTGTCAAAATGTATGTACTTATTGAAAAATGTCTTTATGAATCCTAGCACTGTGTATAGTGGATACAGATGAGTAAGCATTCAGGAGATGGCTCAGTAGATGATGGCCTCTGCTGCCAAGCCTGACGACCTGAGTTCAATCCCCAGGACTTCCACATGTTGTCCTCTGACTTCCATGCTGTGATGTGTGTGTCCCCATCCACACACTCACAATACACAAGATAAATAATCAAATAGATACACATACTACATATGTGTATATGCCCATGAGTAAAGAAAGGTGACTTTATCAAGCTAGGTGAATTCCAGGAAAATGTTGTTTACGACACTGAACACAGCATCATCTATTGCAATGTAGTTTTCCAAATCATACTATGGACAACCCTGTGAAAATAGCAAAAGCACCGAAAGTCACAACTTACTCATTTAGGATTAGATCAGGTGCAAAATACAGCATCTGCCCACTGACATGCTTGTAGGACCTCCACCCCAGGCCAAACACCATCAGACTCATCCAGGAGTACTGAATCAGGGTTATCTGGTCATCAATATGCAAGTTCCGGAAACCTACAAACATTTTGAAAGGAAAGAATCACAGAACAACATTGAAAATCTGTAGGGAGTTGAAACAGGATACTGAAATGTTTCCATAAAGTGAGGAAACACTCATAAATAACACAGCCTAAAAAAGAGGCAAGGGGGTGGGGAGCCACTTTACATGGCACGAGCATCAGTCACTGTGGTTTAATGCTGGTGAGAATGGAATGGCTAACTGAATTAATCATCCATTCTGGGTTCGTGCAACACCCATGTACTGAGACCCATTTTCATGCTATATACTATGTTAAAATGATGGAAATAAATGCTAGGATCCACACATGGGTGAAAACACATGGCCTTTGTCTTTCAGTGTCTTCTTCACAAGATATCTTGTCTTCATGAACCCCAGCAGCTACAGTGCCTGCATAAGATCTGTATAAGATCTGTACGAGATCAAGCCAATAGGCGTTCCAGCATGGAGATGGCGGGACTCAGAAGTCCCATCCTTTTCTGAGGAGCTATAGAAAACTGATAGATTCTCAGGGTGGAAAAGTCAGTTTTCACTAAGAATATGACTCTAAAGAATGGCCCCATACCAATAAGTATATGAGCAGCACAAATTTGACCCAGTGAATTATTAAGGTAAAAGAAAGGAAAAATAGGCCAAGATGTTGAGAAGGGAGAGGAAGGAGTTAGAGGGAGAAGTGGGAGTGAGTTTACATCAGTTGCATCAGTGAAACACTTAAAGAAGAGAATACAAGACACTTGTTTTGCATATGGAGACAAAAAGGGGTTAAACACTTCTTTCAGTAGCTTTCCTCAAATAAAGGCTAAGAAACAATTAGGCTAAAAGTACCAAATTGGACATAATTGAGAGACCTCAAGAATACTGATTGCAGTTGAGTATATGGACTTGAAGCCTGGGGAACATTAGGAAAAGAATATGAATATGAATCTCACTGTAACTTACAACAGATGAATGATGAAATTGGATTTAATATTTTAAGATTAAATAAAAATAAATATTTTCATGTGATCGTCAAACTCTTTCCATGAAACTCTTTGAAAATCATTTCCTTAAAACTCCACTGACACCCATTTACAAATGACCTAACTCAGAAATAAAACCAGATTAATATTTAATTCATTACTATTGAGGGAGAAGTATTTCTTTCTCTGTTAGATGCTCAGGTTCTCTGCAAATGTTCCTGATGACTCCATCACCATGGGAACAGTTGAGGTAGACACTCAGGTTCTCTGCACATGATTCCTACGGTTCGATGGCACTTGTCTTAGCATCTCTTAGTCTCCTTGGAGATGAAAACTCAAGTGTGCCTCCTAACCAACATATTCCAGCAACCTCCTGCTTTGATTTTGATGCACATCTTCAATGTCAAATCATTCTCCTGCTCAGTATTCCTTTCTGTCTCTGATTGACTATTGAGTTCCTCTGTTTGGCATCTGGTAAAAGTAAATTCCGCTACTGGGAAAAATGGATAAAATCCCTGCTGCCCTCTGTATTGTGCTTGGTGTGGTCTGTAAAGCACATACTACCAGGATTTTTAATCGGAATCAGCAATGACAGGGTGTGGTTATTTGCTGTGAATGTGGTAGACGACACTGATGAGTTCAAGGGATGCGTCTAGTACATCAGTTCATTGTCCCATCACAGATGTCTTAGTTTGTGCCCTATTTCACCTCAGTTGAGTGTATCCCTGATGCCCTCCAGAGGTTGTTTCCCTTCGTTCTTGATTTGAAATCCAAGAGCATTTCTTTTTCTATTTCGTTCCTTCCTTCTTTCCTTCCTTCCTTCCTTCTTTCCCTCCTTCCTTCCTTCCTTCCTTCCTATCTTTCTTTTTTTCTCCTTTCTTTCCTCTTTTAATGATTAGAATAGTTTGTTTTCCTGTGTTTTGATTGTGTTGGCATTCACAAATCTAATTTACTTTGTGGCAGAAAGACTTCATCCAGCCTAGAAAAAAATGTGGCATACGATTTTTATAATTTCTTATTTTCACAAGACTTAACTACCTCTTCAAGTGCATGTGGTATGTTATTTCAGAAAAAGTGTGAATTTAACACAACAAATCCAGAGAATTAGTACTGCTTGCCACTTTCTATTCAGCAAAACATATAATTATCTGATAAAATTAAGAATCAATTGATAAGAGACATGAATTTTTTTATTTGTTTTTTTTAAACATGAAGACTCCCCAAGGTAGGCACATTTAGAACTATGTGTGGGTGTGACTTCAAAGTCTCTACAGAAAGGTCTAAGCTCCATTGCTGACTCTAGAATTGACTGAATACTACATTGAACCAGTTAGACCATAAAAATAAAGTTATTAATTCTACCATTTGCTAAAGATTCCAGATAACTGTGCTTTGTTGAGGAATCTGCAAACATTTACTAATCCATCAATGGGTCCTGCAACAGACTGTTCATTGGATTAATGACTATAGGAAAGCCACTAATCATTTTCAGAAGAAATTTGTAATTTAAAACATATTAACCATACATAATTTGTGTTCTGGCAATCTCAGCTCTGAGGAGCTAGGGGCAGGAAGATTAATAGTTCAAGTTTATCCTTGGCTGCAGAGTAAGTTATAGGCCACTGGCTGTGTGAAAACCTATGTGTGTATGAAAGAAAAAATGCTCTAAAACAAAATAAGACCAAAATGATAAGCCAGAAACCATTTTCTGTATGTTAAAAAACCATAAATATAATTAAAATGTAAATGCTGCAAATGGCAACAAATTTGGAAGACATCACTGACCTAGGAAAATAGCTCAGTCAGCAAAGTGCTTATCACACAGGCATGATGACCTAAGTGTTTATTCCCAGCATTCATAAAAAAGGCTAGGTTTGCTGTGTTGCATAATCCCAGAGACAAGGGGAAGCAGAGACAACTGAGTCCTTAGAGCTTGCTGCTTGCCAGTCCAGATCAAACAGTGAGCCCAGGCTCAGTAAGAGCCCCTGTCTTAAAATGTAAGGTGGAGAGCATCTGGGGAAGACACTCAGCATCAACCCCTGGTTCCACGCATTCACACATTGGCTTCTATATGTACACATATATACATGAATACATGCATACGAATTACATATACACATACAATTAAACGTTCTTGATGAAATGTATATTTGGAATATTTTCAGAATATATATTACTTTATTTGCCAGAATGTTTTACATCCATATATGAATTTCATTATATACAAAATGACAGGCTTATAGAAAGCGAGGCTCATTTAATTAGACATAAAAATATTAGTAGAATGTTCATTATGATCTTTAATAACTCACTCATTGCTCTCTATAGTATTCCTGCTCACTTCTAACTTTTCTAATATATTTTAAATACCTAAATATATGACATAACTACGTTAGAGTTTTCATTTTAAGCCTTTGTTTTATAACAGTCTCTCACTGGTCTTAAAACTTTAATTAAGTTATACATATGTGATTTTTTTCTTTTCTGGAAATCTCATTCTGTTTGTGTCTCTATTCACTTCAATCTTGTTCTTATGTCTCTTTTGTTACAATCTTGAATTCTAAGCCTATCAATGTCTTGAAATATGAGGACTTTTACTTTCTTGTAGTATAAAAGGCAACTTTTATTGAAATATTTCAAAACTTACCTAGTTTCTAACATTCGTAGCAAAACATATATTTCCATACAGTAGAAAAGAACTCAGAAAATAACCTACTCTCTCTGCCTTTTGGAGGTGTATATGTGGAAAAAGTCCAATGTTAAATTGACTTGAGCATGGCTGGCTAAGAAGTCCAAAGTTTCCCCCCCCCCCCCCATTAACTGTGATAGCATTCCATCATCTTATACTGAAACAAAGCCAGGAACACAGAGATCAAATTCCCATGGCGATAATGATTAGAGAGGTTTAGTGTATTTGAAATGATAATCAGACTGGAAAACCTACTCATAGGGAAGTGATGGATGATGGCTAATTGTACTTAACAAGTAGTGTAAAAATTTCCTTTTCTTTAAGTGTCTTGACCTAGTAGTCCTTGAAAAAACATAGCTGTGAATTGTCTAATTCTTAATACTTTAGGAAAAAAAAAGCTAAGCAGAGGACAAGAGATGACATGTGAGACTTGCTGTGACTTCCAAAGTTCTGATAAAAATGTACAAGTTGTACTTCCATTTAAAAATAATGTCACATAGTTGAAATAGTGAACCTAAACCAAGGCAGAGCATTACACATCTCAGGACCTTGGAGTACAACATGTAAATGTCAACTTTCAGTCACAGGAAAGCATAGGCAATTCATCACCAACATATTCAATGACTTACTGTGACCAAGAACTTCAGAGTTCATCAAAAACAACTTAGTTATTACAAATTCCACACTTTAGATTTCTACGTCTTTGTATTTGTCCTTTTGGGGACAGGGTCTTTCTTACTTGTAGCAGAGGCTGGTCTTGAACCTAAGACCCTTTCCTGCCACTGCCTCTTTGCAAGTGTTTGTATTTGGTCTGGGAAGATTCAGGAAAGAGTGGATTGGAGTGTGAATGGTTAGGGATAGTTAGAAGTGAAGGAAAGAGCCTCCAGGTACAGAAGCAACCGGGGATGAGGACAGCGACCTGAGCAAGGAGTCTTTCAGCAAGTGTACCTTCGCTTTGGTGGCATGAAGGGAAGTTAAGAGGGGTGCTGCCACTTCAGGAACTGGACTACAGAACGATTGTGGCTTTTTAAAATCATTTTTTATTTTAATTTTAAATAGCTTGTTTTACATGTCAATCCCAGTTCCCTCTCCCTCCCCTCCTCCCGCACTCCCCTTCCCCCCCCACCCTCCCACCCTATTGCCAAATCCTTCCACATAGGGGATATCTAGAGTCTGTCATTTTACTCTGGGTAGGGTCCAGGTACTCCCCCTAAGAGTCCAGGCTGAGAGAGCATCCCTCTTTGTGCTATAGGCACACGAAGACTGTTTGTATACCAGGGATAGACACTGATCCACAGCTCAGGGCCCCATAGGTTGCCCAGGCCTTCTCGCTGACACTCACATTTGG